GGATGCCGCTCGATGGGCCAATACTACTATAAAATACTTAGAAAAGGGTTTGTACCAGTAAAGATTAGACTAAATGGGGAGAATAATGTGATGTTATTATTCTAGAGTCCCGGCAGTGCCAGAGATGCCATCCTTTTACACGATGATCCCGGGAGTATATTTATACTAGGGTACAGGATTCCTATAAGGAAAGTAGGGCTGATGTAGAGCCAATTCTATAAGGGAAGTAGGGTTGACGTAGAGCCAATTCAGTTAAGGAATCCGGCTTACTTCATACCATAACTGTTTAAGCTAAAATATGACTCTAGTGCAAATATCAAGGGGTTAGCGCATATAACTCTAACATGACACCGCAGCACTTATAACATGACCCATGCCTAAAGCAAGCAAGTCGATGGTGGGTGTGTGCCTTTAGCACAGTCACCGCTATGGCCTGTACCTTTAGTACAATGACCGGGCACAAGTGGTGCCAACCGCCAACAGTTTATTTTCCACCAATCACAATCTCATCATCATCATCAGTCACACTGGCCATTGCGCAATGACCACGATACTCATCATCAACAATCAATTAACACATAATCACATAACAAGCAAGACACAACAACAACGACACGCATCACACATAAAATCCTAGAACGATGCCTAAAACACCAAACGAGACTCATACACGACAAACGGGGTGCAACGGGACACAACGGGATACGGGGAAACATCAAACGGGAAAAAACACCACGAACCACGCTGGGATTCCAGCGGATAGGTGGTAGGTGGAGGACTACCCGCCGGCGGCCGGGTACTATTCCAGCGGGTGGCCGGCGGGCAGACCACCGCCCATCGGCTGCCCGCTTGAACAGTGAATGCGGGCAGCGGGTAGGTGGCGGGTGGTCAGTCCCCCCACCGATACACAGGCAACTTTTGGTTCCGGGATCTCTCGTGGAACCCGAAACCATGTTCAAACACATAATGACAACACAACGTATTCAATTAACAGAATTAAACCAAGAATCACACCAAATACATCCTAACACGATTCCTAAACATGCCAAGACTTAACATAAACCATATAACGATCCAGGGACATCTGGACTCACAAGAACATCAAGAAATCTATATGCATGTCCTAAACACAAGTCCTAGGCTAGACTCAACACCCGATCATGCGAAATCCCACCCAAATATACCAAGAACATTATAATACGAGATCCACGTTATAACCCTAGGGCTCTAGACATAATCCAAATACAAGATCATTCATATAATTTATCATAGTATCAAGAACGTCATGATTATCACATAAACATCAAGATTAACACATAAACATCAAGATTATCACATAAACACAATATAAGCCCTAGGCAAAGCTCTATCAAGACTCAAGCACAGAATCATATATCAAAGGAGCCAATGAATAAGATATAGCAAGGAAAATTGGTTTTGTTGAGACATGGATTACCTCTTAGCCCTAATCAATATCCTTGGCTACTAAGGTTCTTCTCTAAGATCTTCTTCCCATGGATTCTCCTACGTTTGATGGCAGGGGGACTCCTCTGTGGGTTTCTCCCTGGGAATATCTTGTGTGGTAGAATTAACTGTGGTAGGGTTTCTAAATGCTTCCTAAGTCCCTATATATAGATTTAGGAGTCCCAACTAGGGTCTGAATAGTAAGGATTCACTTATCCTATTTCTTATATGATTAAGGATTTGGTTTAAGGATAAGGGTCCATGATCCATGGTGGGTCACATAAATTAATTAAAAAAACTCCTAACCAAGTTAAATCTTTTCTAATTATTATTAACGGAATCAATTAAATAATTAATCCGGGATTAAAGGCCGTAACACGGGGTGTTACAGGATGGATATGGAAGACTAGTTGTTGTCTTACACTTGTCAACAATCCGGAAGACCCTCTACACTATATATAAGGCACCATTCTCTCCCTTTAAGGGGGCCGCATCATCCGAGCACTATAGGCACCTTGATCTAGTGGTCTTTGGTCTATACCCTCAACCCAGCCTGTGAAGCTGCTGGGGATGGGATTCCTTAGAAGACTGCTTATGAATAATGCTAATTCTTTATGAGAGAATGAATAAACAGGCTTAGCCTTACTTCATTCACATTTTAGTTTGAAATTTTGTTCCCATTATCTCTTTACAATGATAATGTTAAAGAATTTTGAACCAAATCTTTTGTGAAGTAAGAATCAAACTTTACTGAACTGAGTTAAATACTATCTAAAATACTTTGACTACATTAGTGGAGTGAAAAGAAAAGAAAAAAATAAAAAATAAAAAAATAAAAAGGCAAACATAAGCAAATCAAGGGAGACATGTGATCCTTGTCTCTATTGTTCCTTGTTCTATGTTGTGATATATTAATTTATTATACAGTGGATAGAAGTTGGAATGCAGCAGTCAAAAAAGTAGGAACCCAATAAGTTTTTGGCTAGTGTTAAGTTATAATATAATTGTAGTGTATATATGTTTTACCTATTTTATATATTACAGTATAGATTATAGATTATATATTATATATTATAGTGTATATGCTTTAGATTTACTAGTTTGATATGCTTTAGATTTACGGTGTATAGAAAATTTTTATTTGCTTCTCTTAAAAATTAGTTACTTGACCTTAGCTTTATACCATTAATTAATTCATATGTAGGCTCCTCGTCAACCGGATAGTGACTAATGTAGTTTCTATGTCATGGCTTACATGAAAATTTTAATTGAGAATATGACAGACATTGATGATAAAGATTCTATTCAAGAACTAGTAAGATAATTTTTATCATTATGCTTCCATCAAAATAAATTTTATTCCTTCATTATTTATAGCTAGTTTTTACTTGTCAAGTGGTTAATGAGAAGAGTTACTATTATATAATGTTATGTACATGTACATGTGTATCTCACTATCTAGCTATCTCATGTTCACTTATGAACATATTATGTGCACTATGCACTTTTCTTTTTCTTTTTCTAATTTCAAATAATTTTATAAAATTCATCATATTGTAGTCATTTTGAGTACGTACTTTTATATTTACTAACTTTTTACATGTAGTTCCAACAAGTTGATTACGACAAAACGGTTATTGATCTGGTGCGTTCTGAATGGGCATATATTGTATCAAGTTATATAGAGTAGGTATGGTTTGGATTATTAGAACTTTGTGAACATTTAGACTTGGTTCTTGGAATTGTTTTTTGAAGTATTATGACTTGATGGTGATTGGATTGGAATTGGTCATTGAAGTATAATTAGTTCTTTTGTATTTTGAACCTTAGCTTGTGAAAAATTGTGTAACTACACTTGGTGATGGTGATTGGATAAATTGTTTTTTTATATGATTATGCTTTTTTTTTTTTTGAATGCTACTGACTCTATTACAATGTAGTATCTGTTCATATACTTTCTCAACCTACTAAAACACAAAGAGCCAATAACGCCTCCACTGAGGCTCGAACTCACAACTTTCCAAATCTAAACAGCTTAAAAACAACAGTTTAAACCCGTTGTCTTTCATATATAAGACAACGGTTAAAACCCGTTGTCTATTCTTCAAATTATTGAGAATACAGCAAGTTTCGACAACACACAATAGACAACAGTTAAAAACTGTTGTCTTTTCTAGAAAAGACAACAGTTTAAAACCGTTGTATATGGGCGTGACTTTTAACAACAGCGATTTCAACATCACTCAATAGACATCGGTTTTTAACCGTTGTCTTTTCTAGAAAAGACAACGGTTAAAAACCGTTGTCTATGTGCGTGAAAAACCGTTGTCGTTTTTATAAAAAAACAACGATTAAAAACCGTTGTCTATGTGCGTGACTTTTAACAACACCGGTTTCAACAACACTTAGTAGACAATGGTTCAAAAACCGTTGCCGTTTCTAAAAAAGACAACGGTTAAAAACCGTTGTCTATGCGCGGGACTTACAACAACACTAGCTTCAACAACAGAAATTTTACCCTTACGACAACGGTGAAAAACCGTTGTCTATGTGCATTTTTTTTGTAGTGGTACAATTCAAACCCTAGGGTCGACGACTCGTGCCCGTGCGCTCCGTCTCGCCGGTCAGTTATAGTCGTTGCAGCAGGGTGATTCTTATCACCGACTACCTCAGCCACGCACAGGTTCTGGTGGAGGACTTAGCGTTGGCCGGTCGTCCGATCACGCTTATTAGGACATGTTTATTTTTCACAGTCTTCGTCCCGAATACCGACCACTGGTCTATTTACAGCGTACTATATAAGTTTTTAATAGTAAAATTTGAATTTTATCGTTTAAAATTTAAATTAAATGTGACGAAATTAATATGACAAAAAATTAAATGTTGGCCCATATCACATACAAGTCTAACACATTACACATACTTGAAAATTCCTACTGTACGACACAATTGCTCTATCTAAATCCATATAAAAATCCATCATCCATCACTAGTAAAAATCTTTTTTCGAACCAAATTAATCTTTATACAAAAACATATTCCATTTTTATTCCTAAAATCTATTTCTTCGCCGAACCAAACAATAGAATACAATTGATATTCTATTTTTTACCTATTTCGTTCTTTATTTTTTTTTCCGAGAAACACACAAGCTGACCCAAAAGAAATTGTCACCCATCAGAATTGAACCCGGATTATCCCATAATTCTCCCCCACAAAGAGAACTCATTTGCCATTTAAGCTACCCTGTTGGGTTCTATTTCATTCTTTATGAAATAGTATTCATATTCACTAAAAATTCATTTTGTGAATGAAACGTGCTGTAAATGAATTAACCATACTTTCACCAAAAAAAAACGAACACCCTTGTAGATTAGAAATAGAAGCCTCTAGTTTTTATAAAGGATGAAGTATGAAGAAATGGATGATAATATATTACTTTTCATGTGTCTCGTATTTTTTGTTAAATTATTTAAATAAGAACACGTTATGGCAAGAAAGTAATTCAATAATTTTAAGACAAGCTAAGGGAATAGCTAGTAATTCATATTTATTTCCATAAATGAAAGCAATATTACAATATATGCTCAGATCTTCTCAAGAAGCTTTATTATCTTATTATTATTATTTCTTTCAATAATCTAAAACCAAATATTCATTGCAATTGACTTAGTCATTACAATTAACGAAGTCGTAGTTGACTGTGAGGTGACCTTGAGCAACGCCCTGTCCATTAGTGTCCAATTGATTGAACACATTCACGTCCAAATCCAGCCCTCCATTTGAACACTGATCAACGATCCTCACCGTTACTTGAGCATTGGTGGCGGTATTGGTAACCTGCGTTTAAACACATGCAAACTCAATTAATATATATTTTTATATAAAATTGATTTATTTAAGCCACGTTCGGTAAAATAGTTAGTCTATCACTCAATTTTATCTTATTTGACCACTATTAGCTATTTGACTTGGTTAAACAATTAATATGAGTATTGATTAATTAACTTTTGTAACAACCTATTGCTCCAAAATGCTAAAATTCAAAAAGCTGTTCAAAGTAATTTTTTTATCAGTATTTTGAGAAAGTCATTTTGTATGTAACTAGCTAACAGCTAATAGCTAATTTACCAAATGCTTTACTACAATCAACTAATGCTATCAGCTAGTCAAACTCACTAACACAATCAACTAACAACTACCAGTTGTGCATTAATTGAGTATGAAGTGGTATGCATGTATCATATAATGATAAATATTCCACTATAGAGTAATGCTCCCTATGCATATCCTTCATCACCAATTGAACAGAAGGGGAAAAAATGAGCCACATAGTACCACAAATAATAAAATAAAATTAACAAAAACATTACTTAAAACTGAAATTGATATTTTTCCATAATGAGATTTAATTGTCTAGTAGAAAATATGAGTAATATTATTCATGAAAAAAAAATTCCAATGCCATAAATATACTTCATTCTTTTTTGAAGCTTATTTTTTAGGTGAAGAGGAAAACCCACAACCACTATTTGAGTGTGTGCACTAGGTAAAATCTGTCTTGTGACCCTAGTTGACAAAGAACCACAAAAAGATAAACCAGTCTAGGTTATCCATAGCTGACTTATAGAAATCAAAAAGATTAGGCCGCTCCAATATATTTCGATGACGTGAAAACCCCATAACCCTTTTGGGTTTAGGCAAACTCCGCCTTATAACCCTACTAGCAGGCAAAGAACGACCACAAAGAAGTAAACTAGCCTAGGTAACCATAGCTGATCGGCTCAAACCAGGGGGCAAGACTTCGAACTCGTGACTTTATGGGTTACAAGTATGGATCTCTTGTCATCTTGGCTAGACCAGGGTTACCCACTTCTTGCATATATGATGCTTTAAAGTTGTATTTTACTTTTATATACTTTTTACAAATGATATAACTTTGTAAAGTACACACGACATCGTAAATTTCATGATTAATAAATAACATACCCTCAAACATCTGCCACAAGAAGCTTGGCCTGTTGGTCCGACCGGACCACAGAAAGCAGTCCACCCGTACTTTTGCCTCCACGAAAGTGGCTTGTCAGCATCCCAGGTGGCGCAAAAAACACTGGCCGTCCTATAATCCCAATTAATATTTTGAGGATTGTAATTATTGTACGTTGCTCTCACGTTGGTGGCGCTCTGCGCCGCCGCGCCGGCCACCAGCGCCACCACCACAACCAAACAACAAGCAACTCTACTCTCCATTTTGTATTTTCTTTGCCTTAATGGTATAATTGCCAATGTGTTGTATCTCTCTTGCTCTTGGCTTGGGCTGTATTTATAGACATGACAATTGACAAAAATGGTTGGACATATTTAATAATAAATGAATTATTAGAAAGATTGTGTTATAAACCGTTTGAATAAGTCTATTATCAAGACATAAAAGGAAACAAGAAATTATTTAATTTGAAAATTATATTCTAGAAACTCATTGGAAAATATACACCTTCATCATCACACGTCTTTTATTATTCAACAAAATTTAAATAAATCAAGAAATAAAGAGGAAAAGATGTTGTCATCTAATACTAATTTAAAGGTCATGACGGGAGGCGACAGTGTGAGATTCGAATCTCACTCGAAACGTGTATGGTAAAAGGGTCCAAAGATCGATGCTGGAATGTTCGGATTGAATCCCTTGTTGTCTGGTGTATACTAAGAATAGGTAAATCTTACTTAAGTATGATACTTCGTAGTTCACAAACGACACAAGATAAGTAAATCATATTAAAAAGACTCAGTACAATATAATAGACTCGACCAAGAAAATATTAGTAAAAATTAAATCGTGACCATCTATCTAAATATAAGAATCAGGTTCCACTCACTTCACCACTATTCGGTATTTCATATCTGTATTCAGTTAACTCTTTAAGTAACATCAATCTTAACTCTTTAAGTAACATGCGGATGTTGTCATCTAATACTAATTGTTGTTGATTTTATAAGAGCGTACTGTACAACACGACTTAATTTAATATGTCATGATTAGCCATTTTAGTATCGGTGTTATCTAAAAATGACAAGGATAAGATGTTTTTGATCATATAAAACAGATTGAGAAAAGGAGAAAAAAAATGACAAATATTATGTTTTGTGTATAGTTTTGTGCATTCAAGTACATATTTATGGACCAATATTTATTATATGTTTTGCATTCTTTTCAATAATCTATAACTAAATTTCATTAATGAAATTTGTGAAATTTACAAACAATTTCTATTGGTAATTACTTCAACAACACTTAAGTTGAATAACTTTTCTTTTTACTACCATAAATTGCTTCGATTAAACATATTTTGGCTTTCAAGTGTTTATTATATGTTTGTCATCTTTTTCAATAATCTATAATTAAATTTGTAATGAAATTTGTGAGATTTATAAACGATTTGTACGGACAATTGCTTCAATAACACTGAAGTTGAATAACTTCCCTATTTGGTACCATAAATTGCTTCGAGTGCACATCGTAGTGCCTTTGAGTGCAGAATTTTGGCCTTATTCGAAGTGTCATTTTTTTTTAAAGAGCAGTAGATTTGGATGAATTTAATGGCTGAGATTTGTGTGCCTTTTTCACCTGAAGAGTCTTCGGCACCTAATCCTGGACCTATATATATATATATATATATATATATATATATATATATATATATATATAGGGAAGGGTTCAAATGAAAAAGAAGCTGAAGGTGAGACGTGTAGTTGTATCTCAGTCATTCATCAACTCATTTATAAAAAATAAAAAAAAAATTTAAAAAAAAAATCACCACATGCGAGCTACAATAATGTGCATTAGAAGAAAGAACAATGTGCACTAGAAGACATAACAATATGCATTGAAAAACAAAAATATGTGCTGTAAAGCACAAAAATATACAAGAATTATTGAAAAGACTAAAATATACAAGAATTATTGAAAAGACTAAATTTAATACATGATCATTAGATACAGAGTAATAAACAACATTGTAAAGTGTATTGAGTGCGGTCCGGGTCTTTCTCTGTCTGTTTAAAGGTCCGGGTGCTCCGAGAGGCACAAAAGCTGGCCTAAAGGGAATCGTCACTTGTGGGGATTTAACCCGAGTTATCCCGAAATTCTCCACCACAAAGAGAGCTCATTTGCCACTTGAGCTACCCTGTTGGGTTATATTGAATGCAAATCTATGTATATCGTTGAATGCAATTAATTTGAATTAGTAATAATAATATATATTAGATAAACTGAGATATGAAAATTATTACATCATAGAGTAAATTATCGAAATGGTTCCTTGACTATAGTGAAATTACCAATTTGGTCCTTGACTATTTTTTTTGACCAATTAAGTCCCTCAACTTTTAAAATCTTAACCAATTTGGTCTTCCGTTTGTTTAACCGTTAGTCAACCGTTAACTTGAGACCAAATTGGTAATTCGCTATAGTCAAGGGACCATTTTGGTAATTAACTTTAAGGTGGGCAATTTGGTTCAGTTTTCTCGAACCGAACCGTAACAAACTAGTTAGATTCGGTAATATACCGAACAACCGAACGGTAATAGATTCTTGTATACCGAACGGTTTGGTAAAAACTCGAACCGAACTGAATTGTTCGGTAAAAATCGAACCGAACCGAATACCGTTTGAACTTTGGATTGCTATTTTGTTATATATTAGACTTTGGGTATGGACTGTGTAAACACCATAACACATAATAAAGAACTTTTGATAACAAACCATAAAGAAATCAAATAAAACATTTACGAGAGATACCAATGAGAATATGAGCTGAACAGCAGAACAAGCAGCAAGGAACTTAGATTTATTATTTATTTATTTATTTATTTATTTATTTATTTATTATTATTATTATTATTATTATTATTATTATTATTATTATTATTATTATTATTATTATATTTTTTAAAAAAAATTAAACGGTATTCGGTTCAGTTCAATTTCTTACCGAACAATTCAGATCGATTTTTTATCGAACCGTTCGGTATACAAGAATCCAATACCGTTCGGTTGTTTGGTATATTACTGAACCAAACTAGTTCGGTTCGGTTCGATTCGAGAAAATTAAACCGAATTGTCAACCCCTAAAGTTAATTACCAAAATGTCCCTTAACTATAGCGAAATTATCAAATTGGTCCCAAGTTAACGATTGACTAACGATCAAACAAACGGAGGACTAAATTGGTTAAAAATTTTAAAATTGAGGAACTTAATTGGTTTAAAAAAATAGTCAAGGACCAAATTGATAATTTCACTATAGTCAAGGGACCATTTTGATAATTAACTCTTACATCATATTACAATTCAACTTGTCTATATGATTAATGATCCATCTTTACCTTCTTTGTACGTTGTTTGCCACAGTTTACTTTTGAAATGGCGTAGAAGACTTGGCAACGATTTCTGATCTATTTTTTGATACATCAAACAAAAAAAAGTTTTTTTTTTTTTTTTTTTAAAAAGACGGGAAATTATTCAAGAAATGTGACCAGCCAACCACCATAAGAGTTAATTTAAGGTTAGTTATCTTTGGTGGAAATTCTAAATTCAGTCCAAGATTATCATTTTTACCATTTAACATTTCGAATTATTATATTTTGGACAATTTTAGTCATTCTCATGACTTTTCCTATTTTTAGTAAGAGCATTTTGTCTCTTCAAATTTTTCTTTTGTTATTTTTTTGATTTTAACCAGTTTAATTGGTTTAAGACTTTACTATAAACCGGTTGAAAAATATGGTTACTAAAAATCATAGGTTACCTAAAATTCTAAACTAATTAAATCGGTTGAAACAGAAAAATAACTAAAGAAAAATATAAAATGATAAAAACGCCCTTATTAAAAATAGGAAAAGTCATGAGAAGGACTAAAAGTGTCCAAAAAATTAATAATTTAAGATGTTAAATGACAAAAACAATAGTCTAGAACTAAATTTAAAATTGACACCAAAAACAATGAACCTTTGGTAGACTTAACTCATCATCGATCACCACCATAAATTACTCCGTATACGGTGACCTTTTCACCTTGATTCACGAAGTATATATGGCGAATAGGTGAGCAACAAGGATACAATGCATCGAGGAGGGTCGATGTTCGAGCAAACCACAGTTAAGGTGGTCAGATAATTAGTATGGTGATCACATAATTCTAAGTTTCGCTCATTGTAAAGTTGTTTATTTGTCTTGATTTAAATCGATCAATTATGTACAACTTAGATTGATTTAATTTATTGTGATAATTTGTTGACTAGGGTTATAAGGAGGACTTCATCTAAGGTGCACTTTCAAATAGTGATCGTGGACTTTCTCATAAATGAAATATGGTGGATGTCACATCAACCATTTAATTCACTCTTATAAATTCATCATTCATAATTGTTCATGACCAGATGATGATACATAATTCAAAAATAGCATGCACTCTAGTTTGGACAAAAAAAGTACCTACGTACTACAATTACTCAAAACTAAATTTTTATAAGAGTTAATACCATATGAGATCCTCCAAGTATAGTGGTTTTGCCACGTTTAGTCCTAAACTTTCAAATTGACCATTTGTGATCCTTCGACTTTCAAATTTAACCATTCGTGGTCCAAGTTAACCACCCATGGTCCTTAAACTATTAAATTTTAACCAACCATGGTCCTTTCAAGAGGACCATAGCTGGTTAAATTTCGAAACTTGAAGGACCATGGGTGGTTAACTTGGACCGCGAATGGTTAAATTTGAAAGTTGAAGGACCACAGATGGTCAATTTGAAAGTTTGGGACTAAATGTGGCAAAACCACTATACTCGGAGGACTTCATATGGTATTAACTCTTTTTATAAACTAATTTCTATAAAGTTAATTGTCAATTTAGTTACTGAATATGGTGATATTTAAAACATCTTCTCAAATTATAATTTGATCACATTTTCTCCATTACTTTAATGACAATTAATTTAGTTTCGTGTTACCTGTTTTGACTCATCTTTTTGAAATATAATGATTAAAGAGGTAAATTATTATCTCTAGTAGATTTTCCCCATTACCGATTCTTTATTTGCCTCACACTACAAAATAAAAGGTGAAAATTGGGACGGAACCATCCCCTTGCTAATTTAGTGATAGAATAATCAATAATGACAATTTAGTGATAGATTTTAATTTTATTTGTTAAATGGACATTTAGCGACGGATATTGTAACGTAATATTTCTGTCGTTAAATACGTAACTAATGTTAATTATCGATAAATTTTGGCGCAAAAATTAGAG